AACACTTTGCTAGCTTTACCTTTGCCTGTGTTCAACAGAACAACTATTCTACTGTGTTCTTGGTGCTTAAATATGGGGAAACAAAGAAAAAAGTTAGGAAAGCACTCTTTTTTTTAACAAATAAATACAAAGTGTGTGTGTAGAAGAAAAAGTCCATGTTCATTATTTTTTTAAAATCACTTTCCTAATCACACTTTAGTTTGCACATAAAATTGTTATAATTTTGTCATTTTTAAGTCAACTGTTTCTTTACTAGAATTAAATAAATGGAAAAAAGTTCACTTTCTCATACATATTCTCTTTATAAAATATGTATTTTATATTTATTATATATTGGGTTGAAATAAGAGCAATAATAAATATAAATAAAATCATAACACATATATAATAATTAATCATACCAATAAATTATGTCATTACTTCTGTCTTTGTACATAGATAATTCTACCTAAAAAAGCTGTTGATTTTTGCTTCTGCTATACCACAGCATTAAGTGCTATTTATTATCTTTAACTCCTTAACATAAACTCAGCTCATAAAACAATGATCATGGAGGTGTAACTATTTTTTCCTAACTTGAACAGAATGTCTATTTTGCAACAAGTTTGCGTTAAATTGAAGACAATGATTAGTTGGCATGTTGAAGTTCTATTCTTTGATATTATTTATTTTGTGTATCTGTGTATAGATTTTTTAAGTAATCAGAACAGAATTTTGAGGCATTAAAAGTGTACTTCTGGCATTTGTTAAAATAATTCGAGAACATTTTAATGCTATAAATATGCCATGACTATTTGAAAGCTACATTCATTGTGTCCTTCAAATAATAGTAATAATCTGGTACAATAGCATATTTTATCTTGATAGCATTTTATGAAGTTTCAGCAATTTGTTCTTTAACAGTTGAAAAGTCAATGGCTAGTCTGACTAGCAAATCCATTCAAGCAAAGTCTATTGTATTAGCTGCCTTAATTTCAACCTAGTCCCTTGTACTAATTTGCGAGGACGTTGTAACAAAGGATCACAGCCTTGGTGGTTTGAAACAACACACTTTGTTGCTTATAGTTCTAGAGGCTAGAAGTGCAAAGCCAAGGGTGGCCTGGTTATGATCCCTGTGAAGGCCCCAGGAAGGGTTCTGTCTCAGTTCTGACTCTCCACTTCCAGTATTCCCCGGGCTTGTACAAACGCCATTCCCATCTTCACCTGGCCTTGTCTTCCTGTGACTGTCTCTGTGCCCAAATTTTCCCCTAAGGACCTTGTTCTAACTCTCTCACCTCTGTACAATCCCATCTCCAGATAAGGTCAAGTTCTGCGGCACTGGACACAAGCCGACCTTTTTATTTTAAGGACACCATTCAAGCTCTTCCATTTATTTCCCATTTTAGAAATTATCTTTTTGCATTATATGAGACGCAATTTTTTTTTTCCTATATTAACCGCTACTATAAGTAACTTCTCAGTTAACAAAAGTAATCTTTGGTTCTGTGAAATATTTCTGAGTAAAGTACCATGAAATTGATCCAACTTTTCTTACTCAAACTTCTTTCATTATGAAATAGTGTCTTTGAGGGAAGTAGTAACATTTAAAACCATGGTTGGATTATATTTGACTATAATCCAACTGATATTCAACTGTCAGTCAATGAGAACTCTTTCTAGCCAAGAATTTCATTATATATTCAAGCTTATCATGCTTTTGGCAATAACTTTATTGTATATGTTAAATATTGTCTTCCCACATGTGTGTGGGGGGGTAGTTAGATGGCATCCTACTTGAAATGAGCTTTTATATAGTACAAACATTTTATGCTTATTTTTTACCTTGTTATTTCTGCGGTGAGTAAAGCTCTTGTTTTTAAACTTGGGTTCTACCTTATATGTATTATCCCTATTTGAAAAGTGCATTTGGCCTACCAGAAGAGTTGTGTGTTTGTTGAATAAATATATAAAATAAATAAATGAATTGACGGGGAAAAGATGCTCCATACATATTATATCTGATAATCTGTGCTTTCAGTGACAGAGCTGGCTTTAATTCCAATGGTTAATCTTATTCATAAAATTGTAAAAAGCAGATTTTTCCTTCTCTTTGAAAATGTATATATATATTTTTTAGCATTGTAGACATGCAATCACTCATTTATCTGTTATTTGGCAGTCATGATGATCGGATGACCCTCTGTGACAGGCAGCGTTCTCTGTATGGAGGACAGAGTGATGAATATAATAACTAGGTCCCTGGATCATGCAGCCAGTGTTCTGGTGGGGAGAGTGAGATAATAAATACTCAAACACACAAGCCACTTGCAGATAATGGCAAACATTATTTAAAAAAAATGAATAATAGGAAAAAGTGTCATTAGTTTGGAGATGCAGGTTATTTGAGCTGAGGCACTCAGGAAAACCTCTGCATGGTAACTTTGGGCAATAATTTGAATAGTCAGTACAAGTTCTTAAAGACTGTCATGTAAAAATTATTGAAGTCAGTGTAGTCAATTCCTTTGAATAAATACGCACTTGATTATATCTCTATTTTTTTTCTCTAAGAAAACCTCTGCCTTCACATCTCTTCACATCTCCCCTCTACCCCCACCTCTTGAATCCAACACCCAACATCCACCCAGAGACATCTTGGGTGTCTCTTAGAGATGATTCTTTACTAGTCTCACCAAATCACATCAAACAAGATATTTCTGTACAATTTAGAGAACAATTAAAATCAGAAGTGAAGATTGAAACAGGAAAATGTTTAAAATCAACTTGGTATATTTTCTTGCACTTGACTCTTGAGAGGACAGTACATCTTTCACATCATGTGCTCTAATTCTACATGCCTTTGATTAAGTTTCCAAATGATTTTGTATATTAGCACTTTGTAAAACAAATGACAGCTACCAAAGCAAGACATGGCATGAAGGCACGATCTGTGATGATCAGACTCCCAGGGGCATGGCCACCCACGTCCCTGGACTACCATGGTTTTCAATTTGGGGCCCCCTACATGAAATGAACGTGGACTCACACACCTCTGCAGAATACTGCAATTGTGAGATCACCAGCTCGCAAAGATTCCAAGTTGTTGACAGATCCTCAGTTTCCCAGCCCATTCGTAATGTGGACATGCATGTTTTCTTTCAGATTCCTTAGTCAGATTAGGATTTGGACTTCCAGAGCATATAATGAGTTTACTTCTAACTATAAGGAACTTGTTCCAATTCTCCTTTTAAGAAAGTATACAAGCTTGTCCCTTGCCTTGGTTATAATTATTTTAATCCCCTCTCCAAAGTGAATCTTTCTCCCCAATGACTCCTGATGAAGACATGTTATATTTAGGTAACAGTGAGTCATTACATCTGGCTCATTTCCCTTGGCTCTCTCTTCTCAAGTGGAACTGTGCTGGAAAGAATATGAAAACCTTGGTTTTTAAATCCAATCAGGTTCTGCTCAAACTTTTTGTCTGTAAAAGAGAAATAATTCCCTCCTTCGAGGGTTGTTGCAATCATCAAATATGTTTTCAGCTCTAGGAGAAGCCATTATCATTCTTAGCAATTTAGCTAACTTTTATTGAACTTTTGTAATATGTGAGGCTCTGTTCAAATCGCTTTACGTACATCCTACTTAAATCCCCCAGCAATACTGTGAAGTGGATATTATTACTATCCTCATTTTCCCGATAAAGGACCTTTGGCACACAGTTACTAAGGAAGAGGTCAGAATAAGAGCACAGGCAGCAGGTACCAGAGTCACTGGTCAAGGTTTTTGCAGCTCTAGGGAGGCTGGCAGGGAACCCCAGATTTGTTTAGAGGAGGTGTCAGTCCTGAATGGGCAGACACAGCCAAGCTATCAGGAAGAGGAGGGAACTGTGGCAAGAATGCCACAATGTTCTTGATTTGTACAACCACATGGAAATGCAACTTACCATGAATCCAGAGCTTCACTGTGAGATGAGGATACAGAAGGCAGGCCGAGGCTGAGGAACCAGGCTAGCAGAGCAGGCCTAACATTAGCAGAAAGGAATATAGATTGAAAGTTAGAATGAAAGTGAGCCCTAGGGCCTCCCTGGTGGTGCAAGGAGTAATGTGTCAGCACCATGAAGCTACCTGTAGTCACTGCAGCAAGACTTCAATCTCTGGCCAGGGAGCTGACCCACATGGTGCAGCAGACCTCTCCTGTCTCGCCCGCTGCTCCCCACAGCAGTATATTTCAGTGGATCTGCCTATCCTGCTTCCCGCTCTGTCTCTGGTGAATCCTCTCACCCCCTGCACCTCTGACTTGTACCCCAGTTCTTGTATGCATAAATAAATGAATCTTTTTTAAAAAAAGAAAGAAAAGAAAGAGAGCCCTAGGGAAATTAGCAAAGGACAACGGGCCCCAGCAGGGGAAAGAATGGCAGTTCTATGGCCAGTGTGGTGGCAGGAGCAGACTATGCTTGCACCTGGGCAACTGGACCTGTGCTTTGGCTTAAGTACTCTTCTTCTTTAAGGAAGGGCACAGAGGCCTTTGCATTTAATGCTGATGATTTCCATCATGGTTGAAAACTTCTCGAAGAAGAACATCTTCCAGTTTCAATGGATGGAAATATTAATCTGGTCTATAACCAACATTCAAATTGATTTGCGAAAGGTGAAGAGCCAACACCTTCACAGCTATTCTCACCTGCTATAGCGCCATAGCACGACACCACAGTCAGGGAGTCTTAGGCAACTATCATCTTCTCACCATTCTCAAGCGTGGGTCTCTGAGATCAAACAACTAACAATGTTGGTTTCTGTTGAGTCCTCTCTCGGGGCTCTTAGAGGGCCGCCTTCTCCCTGTGTCTCCCAGTTTTCTTTCCTCTGAAAGTGTATCCTAATTTATTCTTATAAAGACACTCGTGATCTTGGATTAGGGTCCACAATAGTGACCTCATTTTAAGTTAATTTCCTCTTTAGTGGCCCTGTCTCCAAGGATAGTCACATTCTGAGGTGGTGAGGTTAGGAATGTTAGAGGGACACAATCCAGCTCATAACAACATCTGATGAAAGTTTATGGGTGAGTGGGAAGAAAGCATTCTCATACAGTTTCACCAACCTCAGAGACTCTGAAAAGATTAGGCTATACCCAAAACCTTCTTTTTTTTTAAGATTTATTTATTTATTTATACAAGCACTGGGTACAGTCAGAAGCGCAGGAGGGTGAGAGAATTTACCAGAGCCAGAGCGGGGAACAGAACAGGCAGACTGACGAAGTACTCTGCTGAGGGGAGCAGCAGGGAGACAGGAGAGGTCTGCACGCCATGTGGGTCAGCTCCCTGGCGAGAGGTCTGAACTCATGCTTCAGTGGCTGTGGATAGCTTCATAGTGCTGAGACTAAACCCCTTGAACCACCAGGAAGGCCCCCCAAAACCATTTTTATAATGATCTTTTTTATGGACACAGATTTAGTCTCAAATGATTTAATATTATAGTATCTTCTATTAAATTGTTGACAATACAATTTTAAATATACTCAGGATAGAGGACATTATATAACTGAGATTATTCACTTTAAACAGAATGTGTTTAGGGCTATTATGATGTCAGCTTCATGGGAAACAAAGATTAATACAGCCACGTACATACGCACGTATCTTCAGATGCTTTTTTTGTGAGGTCAAGGAAATGAAAGAGAGAAAGGGCAAAAAACTTACTGAAAATGAAAATTTGTTTCTGTTCATGGCCCTGAGTATTTCTTTACTTCTCCTGGTAGGTGGATATGTGTGATAACATCATTTGAATCCTGCTAGCTAAGAACTTAACTCTTTTCCATTCAAGAACAAACAACTTCCACCTTTCAAAAAAGATTTCCTAAAAAGAGAGAAGAAACCATCCAGTATTTGGGCTAAGAAATGGGACATAAGGTATCTCAAAATAAGTTTTGAAAAAAGTACCACATTTTGGTTCTCATCAATTCCAAGTATAACTTACCAGGCATTCTCTTCAGCTTATGTTTCAACCCATGTGTATCTCAATGGAAATCCAATCCATATGTTTCTGATTCATTTACACTTAGCTCATCAAAATATTGTTTTGCAAGAACTATTTGAAGTCCAAAAAAGCTTTGAAAGCTTTTTTTCTTAGAAACAGGAAATCACTTTGTGCCAAGTGTAAACAAACACATTCCTCTACTCTCCATGCTCATATTTTAATTGGAAATTTAGAAGACAGAAGGTTAAAGAACTCTCTAAACCTGCCCAAAACAAATTCCGTCCCTATATGGTGTCTTTCCATTTTTTCTTTATCTTCATTTTCAAGTGTCTTTTGGGAATAAATTTCTTTATAACTGGTCTACATGTTTTCATGAATATTTTCTATTTTGCCTTATATTTCAATTAGTATCCCATTATCAATCTTTTTTAAAGGAAACTCTCCTGCTTGTGCTTCAGCATTTGCTTATAGACTTTCAAATAAAATGGGAACAATTTAGATCTTTCTCATAAGCCTGTTGAGTTGGTTCAGAAAAAAAAAAAAGCCTGCTTTGAGTGACCACGTTGATGTCACACTTAGTCATGTCATTGTTTCTCTTCATATTCTCTAGAGATCCAGTCAAAGCATGGAGAAAGTACCCAAAATATAGAGCAAGGCACTGACTTGACATGATGGGAAGCTAGAAGTTGAACTCAAAAGAAGGCACCCAAAGTCATCAGCTTATATAAAATTCTAAGTTGTGTACGTGAGACCTGTTATTATTTGGCATTTGGAAACATCATCTATGAGCTTATTTAGAAATAAGCCACAATAGTTATCTGTCTGTCTTCTTGAGTGCTTAAGGTAAACCCAGAAGCGTATCTGCCTGAATGGGCCAGTATCAAGATTGGTGGAGTGGATGGTGGCCTACTGGGTGCTGAGCAAGAAGGTGACTATCCCAAAGCAGCCAGAGGCCTATTATAGTTTTGGACCCTGAAAAATGTGTAGACTCAAAACTAAAATCTGAGGCAAGGACACAATAAACTTAAAGGAAGTAATAACATAAGGCCTGTGATGTGAAAAAGGTGAGAAGTGAGGCTGAAATGAAGCAAGGAGATCTAAAACTTTTTCAATGGATAGTCTCAGATGGCAAAAGAGGACCATTCCCTTCTAGTGGATATCAGGTAGCACATACAATGGGTTACCCTGAGTTAAAGCCTGATAAGCTAATTCATGTGTGTTGGATGCTTACAGGCCTCTTATATAAGCCAGATATTTCTTCCCTTACCAGCCTCAAAATAACTTCTTATGCTGGATGTAGTAGGAGGTAACTAGAGAGAAAACTTCACAGAGAAATGCAACTCAACATCCAGGCCATGGGTCAATCAGAACTAGTAATCAACTATTTTGAGGATCCTTTAGGGATTTGAATGGAAACATGCTAATGAAATAGAAACCCTATGCTGTGTATAAAATCCAAATGCTGCATTTTATTAACCTAATACAATAACATTTGATCAAAAAAGAGTTCTTGCCTATTGAGAGTCTATAAAAACATATACCTAGGAAAAAAGACGTCAAATTGTGCATGGTGAAAACATTATTTGTTTTTAGTAAATATACTAAATCAAATAAAAGCTGTATTTATCTTCCTTGCCAAAGTATCTGGAGAAAATAATGGTTTGTGGAATAGTGACACATCAACCAGGCATGGCCCCATGATTGGGCTCAGAGTATGCCCAGAGGCTCAGACCAAGTCAGATCATTTACAAGTCAGGGTTGGAAGGTCCTCAGAAATCATGAAATTCAATGCTGCCTCAAAGCTCAGTTACTACATTATCTACATTTTGCTTCAACACTCTCACGGAGATGGGAAACTAGCGATGTAGTTTCTCCCAAAGTAGGTAGCTGTGGGAGAACCAAATTGTTAGAAAATTCTTCCTAGTTTAAACCAAATCCAATCTTCTTCTAAATGCTTGGGGTCTGCCCTTTTAGATCAAACCAAAACAAGTCCCCCAAAACAGAGAACTTTATCTTTGTTTATTCGCTTCTAGCTTATATGCAACTTTTCAGTTATTTGTAGATGCTATCGCAAGCATCTTTAATCCATCACTAGTGCTTCGATGTTCCTTTATGTGTCATAATTGCTTCTACTCTGCTCTCATCTGACCCCTCTCCTCCAAGTAGCTGTTCTCCACTGGCTCACGTGACCTGACTCCATCTTCCCAATACTCCCACCTTTTATATAACTTCCAGGAATTCCTCCCACATCATAGCTTTGAGCTAAGCTAGAGTTGTCCTTCTGATCTCATAATCCAAGTTCTTTGTAACAGAATTTCAGGTTGGATTCACTCTCTACTGATTTCTGGTACGAAGTGCAAGTCTGGTGACCACTGCCACCAGTTAGCATGTCTGTCTGTGTGAGTTTTAAAGGTCTGTGACTCAATGAGCCATGTCACATTTTTTTTAAAAGATTTATTTATTCATGCATACAAGAACCAGGGCACAGGCCAGAATTGTGGGGCGCGAGAGGATTCACCAGAGACAGAGTGGGGAACAGAACGGGCAGACTGACAGAAATACACTGCTGAGGGGAGGAACAGGTGAGTGAGGCAAGGTCTGCTGCACCATGTGGGTAGCTCCCCAGCTGGCCAGGATCAAACCTGTGCTGCAGAGGCTGCGGACAGGTTCACAGTGCTGCGCTCAACTGCCTGTGTCACCAGGGAGGCCCCGAGCCTTGTCACATTCAGCAAAGTCAGGGAAAGACTGTTTCAAAACAACTTGTAAGGTCCTTTTGAGACCCACATTTTTGCTTGGAGTAACATGTGACCTTGATAGTAGAGCCAAAGTATTATTTTAAACCCATTGGTTATTAGTCTTAAATTGCACTCAGGCTTCCACGCATGATGAAGCAATAACTAGACACTTAAATGGCTGTCTGTCCAGATGGTTTCTTCCTCTGTTCAATGTGTTTTGGACAAGCTACGAATGGGTCAGAACACTCTCTCATTATCACCTTATCGAACTAATCATGTCAGACTCTTACTTCCTTATTTATGCAAAAATGGCAGATTGAAATTCTATGCAATGATATATACAAGACAAGGCTTCATTATCCCCTCTCATAATCTGGTAAATGCCATCTGTGGATGCTCACAAATAATTTTTCAATTGGTTGTAGTGCTTGTTTATTTTCTATTTCATTCTCAGGCTGCACTCAGAGAATATTCTCCATGGAGGGCTGGTTGAACGCCAGATTCAGAAGTTATTAGGCAGTATTTTGGGTCATTATACAGGAAGGACATGGATAATACTTCAATTTCCTTCTTTAAAAGTATAACCAAAACATTTTCACTACTTCTGTATCTCTTCCTCTATCTTCTTTTATTTATTTTTGGGTCAAGTTATTGACCATCATTTGCATGCAGATCATCAGGTTTGTCATGAGAATTTTTCCTTGGAAAGTGTTGTGTTTCTCATAACATCACCATATCATCATTCACTCCAAGGACTGTTGGCTCAAGTGGCAGAGTGACCTTAAAAGTAATTTAGGATTGGTTTGCCTGCAAATTCTGTTTTCTGTGAAGTTTACAATTTATGATTGAAGGCTTCTATGAAACACTTCTATTTTAAAATCAAGTATCCTTTCCTAAAAGAATTCTTGAACCAGATTAATGTGACTTCATAACACTCATGATTGGGGCCAAAATAAAGACAAATGTCTTACTCGGATCAAATTTGAATTGATCTTATTATAGCAAGGACCAAGACTCAATCTGGAAAGGATTTACGAAAACTCGGTTTATATTTAAGAAAAATGATCATTATTGGTGCCTTTCATCTCCCTTTTTCTCTCTCTCTTTCTTTGTTTTTGCACTTGGTTTCTTCCACCCCTTCCCAAGAAGCCAACAAAACCATGAGGACATAGGGGAAAATATTAAAGCATACCACAAGATGGTGAAAAAGAAACCATGTTTTGCATTTTAGACAAGATTCTATTCAAGTCCTTTGGAAACATGCATTTAAAGTCTGGCTTTTCTCCAAACTGTGAGGGAAGATCAAAGTAATCTATATGCTGAGTGTAAAATATGGGGCTAAGGAAAGGGTGACACTAGGCTGTAATCAGATATTGGGCTTTGACCTCTGACCTTAAATTTCCTGCTCAGAACTGAAAACCTCTGTGCTATTTACAGAGCAAAAAGTAAGGAGGGGTTCCTTTATTTAAATTAAAAACCTGTGCTCTGTTAAATATCTTTTGGGATTTCAACTTCTCTGGGGGAATAGATTTGGGATTCTTTCTGTTTGTTACAAAAAGTTATTACTTTTGTTATTCCAATTTATATGTATGACAAAAGCATTAGAAAACTAAATTATATCTGTTCTATAAAATGAGCCTTGATTCCACTGCATCTTCCACTAAGAGGGCATCATTTGGCTCTGCCAGTGCAGAAGGCAGTCAATAAGCAGAAACTTGGAAAGGAAAACCCTTAAAATTGCAGATGGAACTTATATATCTAGCTTAACACCCTCCCCCAAAATCATATTAAAGTTATACTAACAACAAAAGACAAAAACACACAGGCATGAAAAGAAGATAATAGAAACACTAGATGCTTGAAAGTAGAAGGATGGGGGTAGGTGGGGGGCAGATCAGACAAAGGGAACCTTATGTCAGCAGAAAGTCCCATAAAGTTCAAATGGCTTTGGAAAAAAGGAAGAAAATGTGATTAAAGAATGCTTGGGTGAGCTAAAGAGATAAGATTCTTGGTCCCTTCTGATCTCTTCCCTCCTTTGACTAAGGATGGAAATTCCCTTTAAAAAATTTATTTTATTTATTTATGCATACAAGAACTGGGGTGTAAGCCAGAGGTGCAGGGGTAAGAGGATTCACCAGAGACAGAAATACACTTCTGAGGGGAGCGAGACAGGAGAGGTCTGCTGTGCCATGTGGGTCAGCATCCTGGCAGGTGATGGGACTCATGCCACAGTCACCGGTGATAGCTTGATAGTGCTAAAACTTACCCCTGTGCCACTAGGGAGGCCCCCAGAAATTCCGTTTCTTAAAACCGTTTTTGGAAGATTTTCTCAGACTTTTAAGGGTATATGTGATTTGATAATCAAAACTATCAAGGATCATCTTCCCCAACAAAATGTGTCATAATTTAACCCCATCTGCTGTAAGTCCCTTTTGCTGCCTATGGTAACACATTCTCAGGCTTCGAGAATTAAGTCATGTACACCTTGGGAGGGCCATTATTCTGACGACCAGGAGGATTTAAGAAAGGATTATCATTAGAAGGAGATGTCAGTGATCCAGAAAAGTAATCCTATTTACCTAAAATGAATGGTAAGTTTAGGGAGCAAACTGTCTGACTCTGGAAGTATTTGGGAAGTAGCACAGACATCACCGGGTGATTGATGGACACTGAGGGGGTAGGTGGAGATCAGGTGTCTTCAAATGTAATGTACACATGCCCACACCAGACCACTGAACGGTGGGGAAATTCCTCAAGCATCAGGACATAGGAAAAAGAACATGTTTGAGAAAAGATGACTACTGGTTATGATTGTCAACCCTATAGCCAGAAAATAAACATCTATTAATGAACCCAAGATGTTCCTAATGTCTTTAGCTCACTTGTTTGTTTTAAAAGCAAAGGGCCTTTATATTCTTCCTACTCAT